AGTGTTTTGATTGATTTCTCAACACTACAGGCTATCAAATCAAAGTAACTTCCTTAATCCCAAGGCTTTAGGCTTTCTACTCCTTATCTAAATGTCCACACCCTAGCCTAAACTTTACATGATAGTTAAAAAGGTTCTCAATTATGCCCACCTGCACTTCTTGCCCATCAATCATGCACACTGTTTTCTCCAAGTGGAACAACATCCTTTACTATTTCTATGCAAAAAAAGTTACATGCTAAGCTTCAATCCTCTTCCCAGAGGCCTTTCCAGGGCAGCACTATCTATTTTGAGTCACTTCAGCTATCCTTGCCTGGTCTAATAGATTTATTAGTTAATACTTGTTCGTCACTTATAATCATATTTAAGCCCCTAATCGTATATGTGTGTCTCTGTATGTATGTACATAATATAAATTTTATATATACGTACGTTAAAGGTGGGGATTCTCTTTTAAAATCATGGACCATTAGCTCACAAGACATGCATATATAAAAAGAAATCTGAAATTTGATTCACTGTTGTAGTCTTCAACATAGCAAACACTAACGCCAGGAAAGGACAGTTGTAAACAGCATAAACTCTAAAGGCAGACTACCCAGGTTCATAATCCTGGCCTTGGTACTTACTGGCCTTAGTATCTTTTGATAACTTACTTAATATCCATACCTATCAGTTTCATTATTTGAAGTTACTATAAAAATTACAAGAGTTAGGGCAGCCCAGGTGGCTCAAGAGGTTTAGCGCCGCCTTCAGCCCAGGGTGTGATCCTGGAGACCTGGGGTTGAGTCCCAGGTCAGGCTCCCTGCATGGAGCCTGCTTCTTCCTCTGCCTATGTCTCTGCCTCTCTTTCTTTGTGTCTCTCATGAATAAATAAATAAAATATTTTTTAAAAAATTACAAGAGTTAATATATTTAAAATTCTTTAAAAAGCATCTGGGGGGTGTCTGGGTGATTCAGTCGGTTAAGTGTCTGATTTTGGCTCAGGTCACGATCTCAGAGCCCTGGGATCAAGTCCCGGGTTCAAATCCATGTCAGGGTCTATGCTCAGCAGGGAGTCTGCTTGTCCCTCTGCCCACTCATGTGCGTACGTACTCTCTAATAAATAAAATCTTTAAAAAAATAAAAAGCATCTGGCACATAAACTCAATATAATTATCTATTATTTTACAATGTTGTCTTAGCACAGGTTGCTAGAAAAAATAACTATAAGCTTGGTGGCTTATCAACAACTGAACTGTATTTCTCACAGTTCCAGAAGCAGAAAATTCAAGATCATGGTGCCAACACGGTCAGGTTCTGGTGAGAGCCCTGTTAGTAGGTATCCTCGCTGGTTTCTCACATGGTGCAAAGAAAGCTAGCTAGCTTTGTGGTCCATTTTTATAAAGCCACTAATCCCATTCATGAAGGCTACATCCTTCTGACCTAATCCCAAAGGGCCCACCTCCAAATACTATCACAATAAAATTAAGGTTTCAAACATGAATTCTGGGGGAACACAAACATTCAGTTCAAAGCTTTTGAGACTTCCATCTTATTTTATAAATGGAAGTACCGAAACTCAAAAACAAAACAAAACAAAACAAAAACCAATTTGCCAAAAGTCACAAGAACAAGTAAACTATAAAGCCAGAAGAGAAACAAAGGACTCCTTCTAAAGGAGTCTATTCATGTCACCAAACTAAATTTTATTCAATAATATTTTTAAGGTCTCTAGGTCCATTTTAAGGTAAAGAAAAAGTGGCAAGAAGTTAGAAGAAAAAAAAAAAGAAAAAAAAGGAAAAAAAAAGAAGAAGAAAAAGGAAAATGAGAGACATTTATATATGAAAGGATTAAGAAAAAAAGAAAGGAATCATGTAATGATTAAGACAGAACATGGGCTTATGTTCATGTAAATGGAAGGGACAAGGAGGTGGTCCAGAGAACTGAATTACAAATACTAGGTTGGAGATAACTATCATTCTTTATTTTTCATTTAGGACATAAAGATATGGTTACTTGCATTTTTAAAAATCCTTTCTCTTTAGCAGTTTAGAAGGCCAATTCTGTCCCACTAAAAGCTCATCTCTCTTCAAAAATGTGTAAAATATTTTGATTTTTCACATAGAATTCTGAGAAAAATATTTCAGAAACTTAATAAACTTTCAATGATGTCAACATACTTACCATCTGCATTTTTAAAACTTTTAAAAGTTTGTGGGTGTCTGACTGGTTAAGAGAGCTTGTAACTCTTGATCTCAGGGTTGTGAGTCTGAGCAGCACGCTGGGTACAGAAATTACTTAAAACAATAAAAATAGGGGTACCTGTGTGGCTCAGCTAATTAAATGTCTGACTCTTGATTTCAGCTCAGGTCATAATCTCAGAGTCCTGAATCAAGCGCCCTCAGGCTCACACCTGCCTAAGATTAAGGACCCTGCTTAAGATTCTCTCTCTGCCTCTCCCTCCTTGCTCACTTGCTCTTTCTAAAACAAACACAATTTTTTTTTAAGTTTCAACTTATGGGGTGTCTGGGTGACTCGGTTAAGCGTCTGACTTTGGCTCAGGTCATGATCCCAGGATCTGACAGAGTCCTACATCAGGCTCTCGGCTCAGTGGGGAGTCTGCTTCTCCCTCTACTCCTCCCCCCACCCCGCCTGGCTTGTGATGGCTCTTACACACTCTCTCAAATAAAATCTTTTTTTAAAAAGTTTCAATTGATGGCTCATGTTTAGTTTTTAAGAAGACTTTAAACTTATAAATATATTCAGAACCATCATTATTTGACTATCATATGCATTTCCTTAGATAAATCCCAATGGTCATTTAAAATACAATCTCTGTTCTAATAAAACTACTACCTTCCTTCAACTCCCCCCCCAAAAAAAACCCTCTAAATGAAAAATACAAACGTAACTAGTTTGTCAGAGCAAGAAATGATATTTTGTAAAAAGACTGCCTTTCAGAATATTTATTAAACAATATCTGTCTGCCTGATTATATGTAGTTTGTTTACAGCTAGAATCTTTCAATATAGTTCCTCTCCTACAGTAGCAACCAATACAGAGCTCAGGCCAAAATAATTATCGATAGTACTAACCAAAAGACTGGCTATCTTATGAGACTACACTACAAAGGTAAGTTGTTGAAACTTTTACATGCTTTTCAATTCAAAATGAGGATAAAAAGATAAACAGTAGAAAATACAGGTCCAAAATATACATTCAAGAATACATGCTTTGTATATAAAACATACTTCTGAAATCTGAATCCTTTATTTCTATGAATTTCCACTGGAAAACGGGTAATTAGGTCTTCGGGGAAAAAAAATTACTCTCAAAAGTAAAGAGTGGTTGCTCTAAGAACTATGAAACAAGGTAATAATATTCAGAGTTGATATCCAAAGGAATGCACAGTTGTCAATCCGCCTACCAATTCAAATTTCCAAAAATAATTCAAGTTCCAGGAACTTCAAAAGAAGAGAACAAATGGGAGAAGACCATGATTCCTCAGCTTTCCAAGATATACATGCTGTTGATGCCGTGGGTTGACAACGTGGATAGTTCTCCTCTTCCTTCAAATTCTTGCAATAGATGCTAAATGTTTTCTACCCCATGTCCTCACACAATTAAAGTCCACGTGCTAAGTCTCTTTTAAAAGGCAGAATTTGGAGGACAGGAATTAAGGTTCATTCCTTCTCAAACCATTACATACATGGTTCATCAACATCTCAGTCTTAAAACTTACCAGAAGACCATCTCACCAATACTAAACTTTAATTTCTTAAACTGGTATGTATAAAACCAAAAACCATTCTGGCCTAAGAGTTCACCTCTAATTCAATATAGATTAGTAGTGGAATACTGAATTCCCACCACCGGCTCCATAAATCTGCCTTACCAAATATCCCACGGCTGCTATACTTCACGAGCTTACCTGATCCCAACTTACACCCAGCGTAAGGTCCTTATCTTTGAGATTGGGAAGTTCTCTCTACCAGGAGTGGGGCTAAAACAAATTTATCTGACCAATTATTACCCAGTTTCCTTCATCTTATTCCCTTTGCCCCGATTTATTCTGCAAACATTACGATCTTATTATGAGCTGTGAAAAATACTAACACCGGAGATACAAATACATTTTCTCTGCTCTTAAGGGATCACAGTCCAGTGAAGGAGACAAATATAGAGACAAATAATTTCTACAAAGTGTGGGAAATTCTATTAAAAAAAACTGTAAAAATTCTACAAGAACACAAAGAAGTGAGGAAAAGTTTCACAAGATAGTTAACATCTGAAATGAGTCTTAAGGAATAGTAAGGTAGAATGGTGCATATATGTGTTTTAGTTGAGATGATGAAAATACAGATTGGTGAAAGCTGAAAGGTAAAGTTAATATCTGATGACAGCCAAACTGGACTAAAAGTATATTGCAACAAATAACTTAGGATATCAACTAGAGCTCCTTTTCTCTTCCACTCTTACAAATTAATTTTAACCACAAATTTACAAGAATGATCTTATACAAACAACCACCACAAATTTACAAGAATGATCTTATACAAACAACACATACAAACAGGATTTGGTACACAAAATTACTACTACATGGTTGGAAGCAGGAAAAAGCATTTTGAAGACAATCAGGAAAATTCAATATAATCAGACTGATTGCCTGCAGTGAAAGGCAGTAACTTTGTTACATAAAACCAGTCTACAATGTTGTAGATACGGAGGAAAGGACACCAAATTAAAATTCAAGAGACCTGGATTCAAGTCTCACATTAGCTGTGCCCTAATTACAAAACAAACTTTTTATGTAATTCCTAAACTGCCTACCTCAGTCAAGGGGCTGTTAAAAGCAAATAAAATGAGTCTGAAAGTGCTTTCAAACAACAGAAATGCTATACAAATAACATATTACCTTCATTAAGGTTGTACTTGTTATACTGGAAATGAATTTAAAAACCTGTATTACTGACATAAACCCTACCATACTAAATTTGTGATGAAGAGCTTTTTACCCGTTCTACAGATCGTGCTCTCTTCTTTGGCCGAGTAGGCAGCGCATCTTCCTTCGGATTGGTGTCTATTGCCCAGTAGGACCCCTAAAGGTAAAGACAGAAATCACATTAACAGTATATTACAGCAACCCCATACCATTAAAAATGGATTTTTATAATCCTCTGCTCCAAAAGCAAACATTCTGCAGATACAACAGTGGAAAAGTAGCATAAGAAGATAAACTAGCTTCGAGAAAAGTAAAGTTTATATGAAGAAAAAAAAGTCCATTTACAACTAGATTATTACAGGAGAAAAAAATCGTAATCTGAAGTATCAAGGTCTGAGAACTTCTGGCACAGCCAAAGTGCAGTGCAATGAACACACTTTTAAAATATATTCGATTCTTAATTGGACACAAATATGGTAACTACAACATATGACATTCAAGTCTAATAGAGTTTTATGTATAAAGAGACTACACTCTGGGACCTCACAAATCCAAATGGTAAGTTAAACAACTTACAAGGACAAACTGCCTGAACACATTTTATATAATAAATGCATCCTGGGAAGCAATGGTCTGTACATAAATCTTTTATTGCTTATTCTATGACAACTTTTTAAATATTTATCCTCTCTTAGAAACAACTTCTTAGACTACTCATTTGAAAATACATATTTAGCACCGTGTTCTAGGCACTCAGAAACTGTGATTCCTTTAAAAAAATATTTGAAAAGTATACCATTTGCACATTATTTTTTTTAAAGATTTTATTTTATTTATGAGAGAGGGGGGGGGGGGGCAGGCACAGAGACACAGGCAGAGGGAGAAGCAGGCTCCATACAGGGAGCCTGATGTAGGACTTGATCCTGGGACTCCAGGGTCATGTCCTGGGCCGAAGGCAGGCACCAAACCGCTGAGCCACCCAGGGATCCCAGCATTTGCACATTATTATACAGATGAAGAAACCAAAGCTCAAAAAAAGAAATGGTCTGTTCAACCAAGGGTATTGAGAACCAGGACCAGAATCAAGGTCTTAACTTCCTTTCTTGCTCAGTTACTTGTTTACACACACACACAAACACACACACACTCACTCTTGAGGGAGGAGGGCAAGGAATGAAGGAGAGAGTAAGAAAAGGAAAGAAGGGAGAGATGCATTTCAGCTTCCCAGGCTCCTTTTACAGGCAGTATTTGACAATGAGGGGAAATAAAGCGCTCATCTACCAATCCTCAAACTTTGTGCCCAATATCAATTAGCTGCTTAGAGTTTTTTAAGCATACCATGTCCTTTCACACAGCTCTGCCTGCCCTACATGCTGATCTCACGGCCTATAATATCTACCCTACCACTGACAACCTCACATTATACCTTCAAAATTTAGCTCAGATCTTATCTAAAGGAATCCTTCCTCTGATCCTCCTACTATCCTTAAAAACTCATGACTCTCTCCCTCTGTAAGATCTCCATACCATTTAGACAACTGATTGCAATTAACATTTATAAACTTATTTATAGGTTTATATCCTTTCCGGGCTGAGTTCCTGATGGTGGAAACTCATTTCTATGTCTACTGTGCCAGGCACAATGTCAGACAATAGTAAGTACTCAATAAACAGCTGAAATGGGAAGAAAAAAATGTGAACAAACTGTGTCAACAATTTTAAGAGTACAGGGCATCATACCATGCCTTCCCAGATCCTAGTGTAAGCTGGTACCTGAACTTAGCACTCATTTCATCACCCAGCCATTACCAGAAGATTTCTTCCATATCTTTTCAAAGTAGTCACTGCAGTTTCAGCTAATGAGTCTACCAGACCTGACATAAGCCTGCTAACAACCATGTAATAAAATGTACATGTTACAGAAATTAAGCACCAAAAATGAAAACAATTTTAAGTTCAGCTAGCAAGTTTCCAAATAAACAAAGGAGGAAAAAAGTTTTATACTCAGTTGTTACATAAGTTGATAAATAAACAGGAAGAAAAATAACCAATGCTCATCGGACAATAGTTTAAAATCCACTATTCATGGAAATGACAAATTTCCAGTGTTTAGTATTGTTTTTCATGGGATTTATGTATTAACCTGGGGAAACCACTCAGTGTTCATACACCAGACTGACTTATTGTTAAACATTTTAATAAAACCATAAAAAAGTATACTTCCACACAAAATATGATTGGCTATAATTTATCACAAATATATCAAGAGGGCAGCCCCGGTGGCACAGCGGTTTCGCGCCGCCTGCAGCTCAGGGCGTGATCCTGGAGACCCGGGATCGAGTCCCACATCAGGCTCCCTGCATGGAGCCTGCTCTTCCCTCTGCCTGTGTCTCTGCCTCTCTCTCTAGCTGTGTCTCTATGAATAAATAAAATCTTAAAAAATATATATATATCAAGAAAAAATTGTTCATAATCTGAACTATTCAGGATATACTAAAAAACCCTAAATGCCCAAATGCAAACACAAACAGTTGAAATTATCCACAAAAGAAACTGTACAATCTGGACACCTGCTTAGCTCAGTCGGTTGAGGTTTGCATTAAATTTGCATTAAATAACCTCAACATCTCCCTTCACAGATCAAAACCACAAGATACCACTTCACACCCATTAGAAGGCCTATTAGGAAAAAAAGACAAAAAACAGAAAACAGCAAGTGTTGGCAAGGATGTGGACACCCTGGACCCCTTACACATCACTAACGGAATGTAAAATGGTGCAGCCACAGTGGAAAATAAGTGGCAGCTCATCAAAAAATTAGTATGATCCATCAAGTCTACTTCTAGGTAGATACCTAAAAGAACCAGAAGGACCTGAACAGATATTTGTATCCTCATGTTCATAGTAGCAGTATTCATAATACCTAAAATGTAAAGCAATTCAAAGGTCCATCAATAGATGGATAAATAAAATGTGATATATATTTTTTTTTCAATGGGAAATTATTCAGTCTTTAAAAGGAAGGAAATTCTGGGGCACCTGAGTGTCTCAATAGGGAAAGCGCCCAACTCTTGGTTTCAGCTCAAGTCATGATTTCATGTGTTGTGAGGTCAAGCCCCATGTGGAGCTCTGCACTCAGAGAGGAGTCTGCTTGAAGATTCTCCCCCTCTGCCTCTCCTAATTGACTCTAAATCCTTTGATTCTCTAAAATAAGTCTTTTAAATAAATAAAAAGAAAGTCTGATATATGTATGCTGTAACATGAGTGAACGATGAAGACATCATGCAAGCTAAGTGAAGTCAATCACAAAGAGAGAAATATTGTATAATTTCACTTAAAATAGACAAAGTCACAGACACAGACAGTAGAATGGTGGCTGCCATAAGGTGGGGGATGAGAAGATGAGGAATTACCACTTAATGGTTATAGTTTCAGTTTGGAAAGATGAAAATGTTTTAGAGATGGATGGTGGTGATGATTGTACAACAATGGTAGTGTATTTAATTCCACTGTACTATATATACTTAAAAAATAGTTAAAATGGGGCAGCCCTGGTTGCGCAGCAGTTTAGCGCCGCCTGCAGCCCAGGGCGTGATCCGGGAGACCCTGGATCGAGTCCCACGTCAGGCTCTCGGCATGGAGCCTGCTTGTCCCTCTGCCTGTGTCTCTGCCTCTCTGTCTCTATGAATAAATAAATAAAATCTTTAAAAAAAAAAAAAAGGTTAAAATGGTAAATTTTATGTTCTGCCAAGCCACACAAAGGTTACCTTTGTTCTTCCTTATTAAATATTTCTCACAGAAACTGAACTGCCCAGATACAGGCTATCAACAAACACATTCCACTCAATTTCTTCTCAGAGTAAGGCCTGCACTCAGCAAGTTGCACTCTAGACCCATATATGACAAGAAGGAAACAACAGTTTTTTCATGTGGTTTTATTTTTAAAAACGACTTCAATGGAGCATGTATTCTTTTAAATAAAGCACACCTATTTTAAGTATACAGTTCAAGGAGTTCTGGCAAATGTACACATTCATGCAACACCAAAACCAAGATGCAGAACATTCCCATCACCCTAAAAGGCACCTTTGTGTGGCTTGGCGAGCAATTCTCTTTCCTTTGCCCCCACCTCCATCCCATACAACCACTGACCTGTTTTCTAATATTATAAATTAGTTTTGCCTTTTCTAAAATTTCACATAAATGAAATTAGCCTGTCAAACTGTTTTCAATGCCCACTAGCAATATATGAGGTCAGCTGCTCTATGTCCTTGCCCACACTTGGCATTTTAAGTCTTTTACAATTATAACCTATCTAGTGAATATTATAATTGTACCTCACTGATTTTCATGTTATTTCCCTAATAAACGATAGTAGGCAGCATCTTTGCATGTGCTTGCCATCCATTTTTCATCCAAATTTTGCCCATATTTTATTTGGGTTTTAAGACTGGATTATTTGCATTATAAGAGTTTTTAAAATGCTTTTTGATTAACAAAAGATATAATATATTCTATCTAATATTTTTTCCCAGTCCGTGGTTGTCTCCTCGTTTTTGAAATAGCATCATCTGAGGAACAAAAATCTCAAGTTCGAAAGTACAATTTATCGGGGCACCTGGGTGGCTCAGCCTTTGGCTCAGGTCCCGATCCCAGGGTCCAGGGATCGAATCCCACATCAGGCTCCCTGTAGGGAGCCTGCTTCTCCCTCTGCTTATCTCTCTGCCTCCCTGTGTCTCTCACGAATAAATAAATAAAATCTTAAAAATAAAGAAGTCCAATTTATCAATTTTCATTTTGTGGTTTGCACTGTTTCTTTTTTTTTTTTTTTAATTTTTATTTATTTACGATAGTCACAGAGAGACAGAGAGAGAGGCAGAGACACAGGCAGAGGGAGAAGCAGGCTCCATGCACCGGGAGCCCGACGTGGGATTCGATCCAGGGTCTCCAAGATCGCGCCCTGGGCCAAAGGCAGGCGCTAAACCGCTGTGCCACCCAGGGATCCCTGATTGTTTCTTTTAAAAAAATATACTTGGTTACTAAAACATACAAATATTTGCACCCATGTCTTTTTTTTTTTTAAAAAAAAAATAAAGGTTATCTATTTGAAAGAGTTAGCAAGAGAGCACTGAAGCAGTGGCAGAGGGAATGGGAGCA